CTCTCTCTCTCTCTCTCTCTCTAACAAGTTGCTGTTCCATCTCGAGAAGGCAAGCCAAAGATAGAAACAACAAAAAACAGCCACTCAAGCCGGCAGTTTAAAATAGTAGAAGTCAACTTAGTCAACCGCCCCGTCATCTGGGCACGTATGATAGACCATGAACTTAACGAGTCCATAACAAAACATGTCGTCGACACACATCAAAGCAAAAGAAAGTCAAACAAACAGTGCCAATACCGTAGTGCTTGAATGATCTAGAAAGTGAAAGGATTTCATGCCGCACACATGTCCCATTCCCGGTCCCAGAGTCCCAGTTGGGCCCTGTCCCAGAGGGTCCCGGTTCCAGTCAGTCCCAATAGGGATGTTAAACGTCGCCGTGAGGAGTTATATGAGTTCAAAACACTAACAACTGCTCTGTCACAACATAAGCTGGCAAGATAAAAGATGCTGCAATATCTGGGCCTTACCATCGCAGAAAAACGAGCGGAGGATCTGGACAACCCCCCCATATCCAAATGGCAATTAATAAGTATGTCTTGCGAATTTCAGCACGTGAACAACAACAACAAACGAGACCTGGCATCCATGGATTAACCAACGAATTTTGGGAAAAGTTTTAAATCCTGATAAGGGACGATCTCGCTAATTGCTCTAATGCTAGCTGGGAGTCAGGTGGGCTAGGTGAGTTTCTCAGCACAAGTGTAATTCCTAAATTCCTAATTAGCAATTACTCTTCCAAGCCTCCTCTTTGAAAAAAAACGAGCAAGAGCAGACAACAAGACTTAGTACTTACCGATCTATTTGTCTACGTACTCTGCCAGGTCTGCCTTCTAAAATTCTAGCTAGCCAAAGTTTTTGCCTTCATGATCCTGAACCTCACTGACAAATGCCTCCATATAGAGTATTTTAGACTAATAAACTGGATACATACCAGGCCTCTATGTTTTAGAGTCTAGACCGAAGTTATGACTCTGTGTGAGGCAGCCAAGAAAGCAATAGCACATACTAACAACTGCAATCAAAAAAAAAAAATCCTCTTCTAAGTCTTCTTTGATTTCAAGAAACTTGAAGAACGGCTTGCAATCAGGTTCTTTGCACCTTTCTTTCTTTTCTTTTCTTTTTCTCTTTTTTTTTTTTTTTTTTTTTTTTCTTTTTTTTTCGGGACCTTTTTTGAATGCCATATGGAAAAGATGAGACCAGGCCCAATTTCAGAAATCGGGTTAGGTATCTTAGGATCCCCTTTTCTTTAGATTGCAAGAGCTGAAAACCGGGTCCAGCGTCCCTTACATCCATGGTACTCACTCCACGCCTCTCCCGATTATGGCCAGGACATCCTGAGACAGCGGCGTTGATTACATCCTTGTCAGGAGGATGCACCGCTGCTCTGCCCCTGCTTTGAAGTAACGGTGCCTTCTACTATTGCTATCCTAATAATCCTATTTTCTGACGGCATTGATTGCTTCCTCCTAGACGGATCTATACAACCATGCTACGGGTTCCGTACAAGTCAACGTATGCTGTTTCACATTTACCCAATACCAAGATCAGCCATCAAGGGGCCCCTCTAGCCCCACCGATATTCCTGTAGTGTAGGGCCTGTAGGCAACAGCCTGCTTCCTTAGGAAGGACCCCTCGATGCATTGACTGGCCGACATGAACACACAGGTACCGGCCATCTCTTCAGCACACTATGTGTGCATCCATCAGTGGGTTCAGCACCCATTGTTTCTTTTCCACCAATAGCATTTGTACCATGAGCTGGAGTTTTTTTCTTTCTGTTTTTAATTCCACCATACACTTGCCCCTTCTATTCTGGGGGGCGTCTGTCTTGTTTCTACCTCCTGGCAAGCATCCTAGAGTCCAAGACACGTTTCAATACGGCGATGAAATGAAGTTGAGGGCGAAGAGTTAAAACGTCAAAGTTATAAACTATATGTTGGTTTTGACAGGTTGTTGCGTAAACTTGTGCTGAGTGCAGGGCTCTATACACCTGAATGATATGTCCGAGCTCGAGGCGGAAAAAAGGCGGGTGAAGGAGAAAGCAGATGAGGAGTTGCAAGTCTTGACGAGGAGGCTTCAGGGGGAGATCGATGCGCAGCAAGACTCGTTTCAGAATGAAAGGAAAACATTTGAAGCAAGAATTCAGGAAATAGAAGCTGCTAAAAGCACACTTTTGGAAGAGATGGATATGCAAAGAAACACAGCTTTTACGAAGATCAAAGCCCTTCAAAAAGAGGTATGCCACAGAGCTCCTGGGTCTAGCAATTTCGGGGTCCTGACGATGTAAAGGAATGCCCTGTGCATTAATTTGGAGACGGGGGAATAGGGGGATTGGAGGTAAGGACACACAGGGTTTTGTGCTCTTGTTGAGGCTGCGACATGACATGAAAGACCTTACAAGGGTCTCTCTCTCTCTCTCTCTCTCTCTCTCTCTCTCTCTCTCTCTCTCTCTCTCTCTCTCTCTCTCTC